AGCTTGGTAAGTATTTGTGTGTATGGACATCCTGTCTTTTATTTCTTTAAAAGTAATTTTTAAAAATATATATCTTTATTGATTTCAGAGAGGAAGGGAGAGAGAGAAATATCAATGATGAGAGAGAATCATGGATTGGCTGCCTCCTGCACGCCCCCTACTGGGGATCAAGCCTACAACCCGGGCATGTGTCCTTGACTAGAATCAAACCTGGGACCCTTCAGTCCGAAGGCTGATGCTCAATCCACTGAGCCAAACCAGCCAGGGCCAGAATTCACTTTCAGAGCAAAAATCTGAGCCCAGCGGAGGCCCAGATAAAGGGGTCGGGCTCGCACCCTGCAAGGTGAGCAGGGCGGCGGCGCTATTCCCATGGGGAGAGCTGATTTCTGTTGGCAGAGGGCACCTGGGGACACGGACCCCACCCACAGCCTAGAAGTCAGCTCGTCCATCCGCTCTCAGCCTCACAGACACCAAGCGTGGCTGAGGCCCGCCTTGGGACTGCGGTCAGACGCACCGTGGCTATTTTAAACGAGCAAACAGCTGAAGCCTCCGAGAAAAAAGTGAACATCAGACGTACAAAGACGCCCCTGTTCAGATGGGCACCTGGATTATAACCCGAGCAGCGGGCAGGAGAGCCAGAGACGCCACCTCGGGCCAGGCCGCAGCCCATGCCCCTCCGAGCACCAGCCGCAGGACGGCCCGGTGGGGTGCTCGGCCTTGGCCCTGTCTGTCCAGGTCCTGGGCTGCCGTTCCAACAAGGACTGCAAGTGTCTGATGAATACACGTGAGCATGACACAGGAAGCAGCCGTTCTTGAATCATGCCGCTGTGTACCCGTCAACTCCCTAATCTAATGGGTTTTTTGCTGCTGTTAATTCTCACCCGATGATATTTTGCCACTGGGTTTTTTTGTTTTTTGTTTTAGAGATTGTGGAAGGGAGGGGGAGAAACACAGAGAGAGAAACACTGACGTGAGAGAGACACACCCATCGAACAAGCCCGGGATGGAGCCTGGAACCCAGGCAGGTGCCCTTGACCAGAACTGGACCCCGGGCCCTTCGAGAGCCAACGCTCGATCCAGTGAGCCAAACCGGCCAGGGCCCGAATCTAATGTTTTAGCAAAGACACGCTCGGTCCTAATTAGCAGCAACTTGACCACCCACTTACTCGGAGCTTTATAGTGGTTTGTTTTTGTTTGTTTTTGTTTTCTGGAGTTTTATATTTTTTAAAGAACTTTCACAGATCCCTGCTCTGCCCCTTGCCTCCGTTTTGTCACTTGTAAAATGAAAATTAGAGTATCTCATAGGATTATTGGGATGGTTCAATGAGAAAAAAAATGAAGGATTCATTAATAATCCTTCATGACCATCAGCAGCAACAGCCTCATCATCACCATCATCGCGACAATGGAAAGTCCCTTAAGAAAGCAATAATCTGAATTAAAAAGATTTCCGTGGTCTCACTGTTTGTTGTCTTCTTGGTGTCTAGAAGGCTAGGCTTCCCCTAAAGCTAAAAACACCCCCTGGTGTGAGACAACTCTGCTCAAGCCTGGAGGGCGAAGGAGCCCCTGTGGGGCCAGGGAGACTGCCCAGCTCCCCCGCCCTGCACCTCTCTGCCCCCGACCCGCCCGCGTGCAAAGAGCAGCCGCTGGCCAGGACATCACAGAATTCTCATCAGAACCCAGTTTGGGGCATCGAATTCCCAGCTCCCACCCCGCCCTGGCCCAGCGCCCGCCGGGAAATGCCAGACTTACTGTATCCCATGCCCTGCACGAAGTACTTGAAGGCCTCCGCGAGCTTGGCTGGCTGCGAGAGAAAAGAGGGAACAGGGGAGTCAGTCCCCGGGGGTCCGGGTCACGGATGGCCACATGAGCTGTGGCCGTGGTCACCTTCACCAAAGACCTGGACCCAAGAGAGAAGACCCAGCTAATTTCAGTCCCTACAATGACCGCACACCAAGTACATACAGGAAGGAGTATGGGTCATTGTAGGGACCAAAATTAGCTTTGATGAGGGAGGAAAAGTCAAATTCGCTGGGCTTCGGAGGGCCAGGGAGGTCTCTGCAGGGCCCGGGGGAGAAGGAGTGCGGGCTTGGAATGGGGGTGCCTGGGCCCAGACGGCTCCCCTGGGAGACCGTGGGCAATCTCTCCCCTCTGCTGGTCTCACTTCCCTCTTCCCACCTCTCAGGCTGCCGCCAGGATCAAGTGGGAGGAAGGTGGAAACGCCCTGTGTAAACACCGCCCAACACCCAACATGTCTGGGTGGGGGCGGGGGGAAAGGCGCATGGTGATGGCTTCCCGGTGCTCATGGCCCGGAACCCTGGGCCAGTTCAGCTCTCGCCGGGAAGTGTAAACCATGTTTCCACTATGGCCGGGGCAGCTGTTCTCATTTCAAGCAGAGAAAGAAAGAGGAAAAGGCAGGGAGGGGAGACGGGAGGGAAAATGGCACCCTTTCTCCCCATCAACCTCAGGGCCCTGGAGGCGAGCCGTCTCAGCAGGCGGCTCAGGGTCGGGCTGGGTGGGCAGCAGGTGCCATCACCAGGGGCGGGCGTTAACCCGTGATCACAGCTAAGCGGGCCCCATGGGGTGCCCATCTGCTCCCTGTCACATGGGCAAACATAGCAACAGCTAAGACACTGAAAATACCTTTGTTCTAGTCTAGTGGGAGCAGGCGGGCCACAGACACAGGTGCAGAGAAGCTAAGAGAGCCAGCAAAGCCACGGTGCCCATGCCTCTGTGAGTGCCAGGTACGAGGCGGCCTGAGGCGGGCCGGGGCCGGTGTCTGTCTGATGCGGATCTGCCGGGACCGCCGTGGGGCCAGCGGCCTCTTCTTCAGGCGCTCAGTGAGACACCTCCTACCCCACACGGAGGCCTGTCCTCTGCTGAGACAGTGCCACCTGCTGAGATCGGTTCTGCACCCCACAGACCGCAGAGCCATCGTCCACTCACTGGGGCTCAGAGCCCAGCCTCGCCCTGTTCTTTCTTTTGTGTTTTTCTAAATATGATTTTATTGATTTCAGAGAGGAAGGGAGAGGGAGAGATAGAAACATCAATGCTGAGAGAGAATCACTGATTGGCTGCCTCTTGCAGGCCCCCTACTGGGGATCGAGCCTGCACCCCGGGCCTGTGCCCTGACCTGGAACGGAACTTCCACCTCCTGGTTCATAGATCGATACTCAAACACTGAGCCACACCGGCCGGGCATGACTCACCCTTTTCTATCAGACAGCCTTGAAGTTAGTGAGGCCCCATGAATCCAAGAGCTGGTCCCTTCCCCACAGGGTCACTCCTAGCTGCACGTGGCAACCTGTGGGCGCTGGTCGGGCAGGCCTAGACCCCGGTCCCCGACTGCCCAGCTGTGTCCTCTGGACGAATGCCTCACCCGGGGCCCCTGTCATCTCCTCCCAGGGGCTCTGGGAGGTCAGTGAGTCCTCACGTTCAAGTGCTATGAACGGTAACGTGCATCACCAGAGGTCATGGGCGGCGGGAGAGGGGGCGAGCAGGCAGGGAGGAGGAAGCAGCGACAGGTCTCAGAGGCACAGGCCTCCACCCGGGCGGTGGCAGGTGGGACTCACCTGGGAGATCTGCGGGAGGCCGCCACAGTCCGCCATCTGGAAGAGAGGAGGCTGGTTAGTGTGACCGCCCCCACGGAGGCGATCCCCCCTCTGCGAACCGGCTCCAAATGGGTACCGCCCTGCCCGCTGCCTGTGCTGCTGAGGGGGCTGGCACAGTACAGGAGGCAAATGCCCAGCCCTACCCAGCAAGGCTGCTTTTACTTCTATCGGCCCTGGCACTGCCTTTCTAGGCCCGTGACGTGTACCTTCTGATATGCCCATTGATCATTTCACTCTGCTCCCCGAGAACCCAGGGGGCACTGTCCCACCTGAGCGGCAGCAGCTGGGCCAGGCGGAGCTGGTGGAGCTGGAGGAGGCCCTGGCACAGACCCCCTCGGGAAGAGACTGCCAGGCTCGAGACCTCGGCCTCAAGGGGTTCCCGATGGGCCGCCCTTGGGAAACGTGCCCACTCCCCAAGTGGCTACTGAATCACCAAACCTAAAGCCCTGGGCACTCCTTAAAGCCACTGCAGCCACGTGTGGCATGTCCCCGGGAGGGGCGATGATGGGCCTGGCCCAGGGGCCCCCAGCAGCAGCGCACGGATGGCTTTGAGGGAAACGGGCCGGAAGGAGTCAGTGAGAGAGGGTGACCCCGGCCCACCCTACAGCTCAGGGTCAAGGTCAGATCCCAAGGGCAATGGACTCCTGGGGTCCCACGGAGGGGTCCTCTCCTGTGACCTCTCACCTTCCCAGCCAGCACCCAGGAGAAGTGTGTGAACAGATAGTAAATCATTATTTCTATCTTGTCTGACCCCCAGCTTTGCCTAAACCAGGCACAACTCAATTTTTGCAGAAAACCTGGGAGTTTCTGAGGGCACGTGCCAACCTCCTCACGCTCCCTGTACCTTGAGGAGGGTGGTCTTGGTTGGGTCCAGCTTTGAGTTGCACTCCACCTGGACAAGGAGAGGGAGGAGGAATCTGTTAATTTCCTACTGGAGCCCAAGTCACCACCTTCTCCCGCCCCTGTTCCTCCCCATCCTCCTGCTACCATCCTCAGAGACTGCAGTGTTCCCACGGGCACAGAAGAAAGAACATGGGCTTTGAGATTAAACAGATGTGGCTTTTGCCCGGCCGGCGTGGCTCAGTGTTTGAGCGTGGACCTATGAACCAGGTGATCACGGTTTGATTCCTGGTCAGGGCACATGCCTGGGCTGTGGGCTCGATCCCAGCTTGGGAAGTGCAGGAGGCCGCCCATCAATGATTCTCTCTCATTGATATTTCTCTCTCTCCCTCTCCCTTCCTCTCTGAAATTATATCTATAAAGTAAACCGATGTGGCTTTCAATTCCAGCCCTGCCATCACTAGCTGTGTGACAAGTCATTTAACTTTGTTGAGCCTCAGTCTCCGCATCGATAAACGGAGGCTGATATAGCTGAGGGGTGGCTAGGAAGACTCCCGAGTAGGTAGAAGGGGCTCTAGAAACATTCACTAAATGACTGGCCTTCTTAAGCCACCTGAGGCCGGTGAGTCTCTAGGTTTGACACCCCAGTCCCAGACATCATTCTTCATACGCGACCCCCTGCACCGAGCTGCTCCCTGTCTTCCACGTCCTGGCCCCCCTGACAGCACACGGGCACCGGGCAGAAGGCCGGCTCGTGTCCTGTGACGTTCCAAGTGCCTGCGGGAGAACCCCCTCTCCCCTGATGCGAACAATACACCTCTGACCCTGGGGCAGTGACAACAAAGGCCTGGTCTCTGTGACATGAACCAGTGCGTCCTGCTCTGCAGTCCCTGGTGGGAATTACAGGGTGAAATCAGCCAGGAAAACCATGCCTAAGCCCAGCTCCCAGGTGCCTCTTGTCCTGCCAGACAATCAGGCACCAGCCAGGCCTCCCAAACGGGAGGGAAGCGTCTTGGCCAGGAAGCCGAGTGGAAAACACGCTCATAGAAGCAAGCCGGCGGGAGGCAGATGGGCAGGGAGGGGGCCTGGGAGGGGAGGCGGAGGGCCCACAGCCAGGCCCCCAGGCCGAC